ACCTGGCAACGCAAGCTAGCTGAAATATGATTGGTTAAAAACTCTACCATAATAAATAAGTTAGTTTTCGAGTGGCTTTCAATGTTATTTAAAATAACATTGAAAACCACTCAACTAAGTGGAAATAATATGATGTAAAGAATACAGAGAATAATTTTGTTTACATATTTATGAAAATAAAATAACACAAATTATAAAGTAACATAAAATACATAAAAGTAAATTTACTTTTCTGAGAATGTTTAGGCCAGCAGAGAAGGCCTTGCTGGCCCTCAGGGTCCGCCACTGGTCTGTACTGTGGTTGGATAGCTGGGGTGCCCGAGTGCAGTGGCACAGACATTGTCAGGTGTGCCGCGGGAAAATATCCAATTTGTATGCCTGTGCGGTCTCTCGCCTGGCAAAGTAATCGTGTAGTAATAGTACTGTGGTTGGATAGCTGGGGTGCCCGAGTGCAGTGGCACAGACATTGTCAGGTGTGCCGCGGGAAAATATCCAATTTGTATGCCTGTGCGGTCTCTCGCCTGGCAAAGTAATCGTGTAGTAATACCGCTAGGGAGCATCAACAGCTAGCCAATTGCCTTGTGTTAAGACGAAAGACAAGCGAATTTGTGACGCATGAATGCAGGACGACGGTGAAAAAAATAACATTAAAAAAACAATACAAAAGAAGATAAAACACTTTTTTCTTTGTGTTTATTTGATTCCAATTCAAGCTGTGATAACGTCAGTCTTCAATGTTAAAAAATGGTTCTGGTAACAATATAACACGTTAACTGTTAAAATAAGCTTTTTTTCACATTTTCAGCTAGTGGTGTGCCGCGAGATTTTTTTCAATGAAAGAAGTGTGCCTTGGCTCAAAAAATTTTGAAAAATACAGTACTGCCCTAGTGTGTCGAAAACCTGGTGTGGTTGCCTGTGGCGGTTCTGGGAAGGGGCCAACAGGGGCCAGTGCCCCTGTAGCACTGATTCTGGACCCCCCTGTCGCCCCTGGTCAGAACGTAGAGCAGCCATCTCGTTACCTCTGCGTCCCGCGTCCTAGACGCATAATTTTGCCGCGGGACGCACAGTTCCAAATAATGTGCGTTTTTGGGACGCAAGGAAATTTCTCAGTCAAAACAACAACAACAACAACAAAAAACTATGGCAGGCCTGAGGATTTCACGGTAACAATCGTTACCGGTAGCATGTCGTTTCTGTAGTGTAATTTTGACCGTTCCGAAAAATCGTTTAATCATAAAAGTCACCGCACACGAGTTAACTGTACACGATCAAGTCTCTCCTGTGTGATCAACACGATTTCACTGTGTCTGTATGGGTGTTTGTGGTGTGGTGTGTGAGTGTGTTTCTTCTAATTTACTTTCGTTTTGTTTTGTTTTCATGATGTTGGGGGGACGAAACAGATAACGTTATGTGCGCACGCGGGTTGCTATTTTAGTCCGAAAACTGAGGAATCGCGCGGATGAAAGTTTGAGATGGTGGCGAAAAAAACTCACAAAGGTCTACT